TCGGACAGTCCAAAAGGTCTCTAGCGAATAGAATCACATCTCACAAAAGTGACTGTAGGTTGCATCCTGAACGTTGTGCACTGGCTGAACATGTTAATCAATATGACCATCAAATGGATTTCCAGTCAGCAAAAATTCTGGCAACTGAACAAAATTCCAAAAAACGAACTTTTCTTGAAATGGCTTTCATCTCCCAGAAAAACAACTGCATAAATAAAAGAACTGACATAAATCATCTAAGCATAATTTATTCACACTTACTTGCAATGGATATTAAAACTTCGACATGAATACTATCTGTTTTCCCCATTTTCCAATGTTTAGATTTTTCAGATGACAGTCAAGACTTCTTCTTCTTTTTCAATACCAGAATTTGTCTGTTCCAACCTAAACGTACATCCAGTGCACACAGCATTCTGAGTGATTTTGTTTTGGAATTGACAGAGAAGATTAGGTTATGTTGGTCCTAACCGCGTTAACCATAACCTGACTTTCCATCCGTGGTTTTCCAGCATGGATGTGAATAATTTTTTAAAATGTTAATTATTTCGTCTGGTCTTTTTACAAATTTCTAAATGTCAGTATTTTGCCTTTTTTATTGCCTTGACTATTGTGGAGATTTTTATTCCTACTGATGGCACCATGTGTAATGATATGTCTATCATCTTATAACATCCATGTAATTAATCTCAACAAAGATGTATGTATATTTATATTATCTTTTTTTGTGCACATTAATATGATATATCATTGTAGCATCCCTGAAGAAGGAAATAAACATTTCCGAAAGCTTGGATAAACTTTAAAGAGTTTCGCTTTTACTTGCTGCATTCCCCAATACATTAGTTTTCTATATATATATATATATATAAGCAGCACACTAGAATAAGATATTTAGTTTTAATCTTCTCCTGAAGATGCTAACATAGTTAGCTTAACACATGTCAAGGCGTTGAAAAAATCGGTTTGGTTAGTGGTAAAACAGTGTAGTGCACCTGGGTATTTGGATTGATGAAAAGTTAACTTGGAACAAGCATATTGGCATGCTCAAAGAAAAAAATCCTTCCATAGTTGGTGTCCTAAGAAGATGTCCCTCACATCCTTAGTAAAATGAACTATCACATAAATATTTGGAGTTCATGTTCCAAGAATAATTTCAACAAAATATATGTACTATATAAGAAAGCATTGAAAGTACTGTATCGTCTTCCATATGACACACCATCAAATCAACTATATTATGAAGAAATAAATACATTTTTTTTGGAAGAGCACTATCTGATCAATACTCTCAAAAAGGCTCATGATATTATCAACAAACACATCAGCAGATGTCTGTGAACCCCCGGAAAACTGTAATCATCCCTTTTACGAAAAAGCAAAAGCTAGATAAGCTTCGGCAGCTCCTATATGGAGAGAGCATTTCGTTTGCGGCGAAGGTGAAATATCTTGGGGCCATCCTAGATAAAAGACCTGGGACGCCCGTATGGCAAAAACTATTAACAAAGCCAGATTCTTCCTCTGAACCCTCAGAAGGGTATGCGGCAAATCATAAGGAATAAACCTAAAACAGATATACTCGATTTACCAAACAATGGTGAAACCAATGGTCACGTATGGCTTAGTAGTCTGATAGACCAAAGGTCTGCAGGAAACAGCCAGGGCAAAGCTCACTGATCTTTAGCGGCTGGCATGCCTGGCCATTACAGGGGCGATGTCCTCTACTCCAACGGCAGCGATAGCAAACCTCCTGAACCTCACTCCCCTCCACATTGTCCTGGAGAGGGAAGTCAGGATGATCCCTGTCACTGGAAAATCAAATCAGAGGAGGACGACTGCTGGATCACTCGGGGATACTGTGTGAAATAAAACATCACCAAACTCTAGAAATGGCTCCCGACATGTTGGCTACTCACACACGTGAAAAAGTCTTTCAAAGTCCTCTTCCCGAAGCGAAACGAGTGGGTAAGTGGATCAGTCCAATTCCCAGAAACCGAACACGTAATGTACACAGATGGTTCGAAAACTCTGCTCTTGAAGCACTGAGCTGCAGCAAGATAAATTCCAAGCTTATATGGAGCTGTATTGACTCCCTAGAATGCCTGGGTGCAAACAACAGAGTTACTTTGCTGTGGGTGCCTGGAAACCAGGGGGTGGAGGGCAACGAGAAAGCCGACGTCCTCGCCAAATAGGAAACGATATCTGTGTTCATAGGACCGGAACCATACTTTGGGATCACCGCAAGTGCGGCCAAAACAACTATCTCGGACTGGGCGGAGGGGAAAAGACTCACGCACTGGTCGGAATAACCAGGAATAACCCATTCGAAGCAGTTTCTGCCTAAACCATCGAAAAATATAACCAAGCAGATCCAAAAATGAAGCAGGGGTAACCTGCGAATTCTGACAGGATTGCTTACGGGACACTGTCTCCTAAGATTCCACTTGGGAAGGATGAGTCTAAACCAACAAACGGACTGTCGGTTCTGCTGTGTGTGAGACGAAACGGCTGAACACATATTATGTTCATGCTCTTGCTTAGGGAGACTGAGGTGTGGTGGGGCGGTATTCGCCCCACTCACATGGAACCTAAACCTAAACCTACTTCTATTCAGTTTGGCCTCGAGTCTGGCTATCTATGAAAGCGTGTTTCATTATAGTTTTTCAAACTTCTATTTATACAAAGCTCGTTCGTCAAATTGAATCCGCTATTTTGAATTTCCCAATTTTGAAGAAAACATCATAATCTTCAACCCCGAAAACCCTCAGATACAAATTTTGAGAAGAATAGGATCATAATTACAAAACTTGTCCGCAATATTGGAACAGCTATCTTTAATGTCCTAATTTTGACCCCCTAGATACCAATTTTGAAGTCGGATCATAATTACAAAATTCATCCGCCATATTGTATCGGCCATATCTAATTTCCAATTTTTGATAAAAGAATAATAATCTCCGATCCCATAAACCCCCAGATACGAATTTTGAATGGAATCGGATCATAACTACAAAACTCTTCCGCCATATTGGATCCGCGATTTTGAGTTTCCTAATTTTGTCGAAAGAGTCATAATCTCCAACACCGAAAACACCAACATACCAATTTTGAATAGGATCGGATGATAATTACAAAATTCGTCCGCCATATTGGATTTGCCATCTCTAATTTACAGATGTTTACGATGGAATCATAATCTCCGACCCCGAAAACCCTAGATACCAATTTTGAAAAGAATCGACTCGACAGTGAAATAGTAGTTATGCACCTCGCCGAAAGATATCTCCCCAAAGCATACATTGCTTATTATACCTCGTTGGAATCGTATCAAGTCAAACAACAGCTGATCAATATACTGATGTCACTTATGATGCTGTAGTCTTCGACCCAGAATGATTTACTATTCTTCTTGATGTTTTCGTTTTAAATTTTCCTTTAACGATTTGTATTTGAAGAGAATACATTTTGAGAAGCTTGCGTCATGTGTTTTTCATATCTTTGGGAGCAATAAGGAGGTATCTGCATTTTCAAAACGAAAATAATTGTTTGCACTCGTACTATGATCTCACAAGAGTTCAAAACTTGATCTTTTTCATTTGATAAAATATTCATGTTTTATAGTCTCCTGGAAAGTTTAGAAAATGACAGATACCTCTATGTTGCTGCAGTCTTCAATTGGTGTTAAAATGTCAATTCATTTACACTGAGAATATAATCTCAATCTTCATTATATCCATCCTCCCTCGTATAGTCAATATTCGAAGCCGACCGAGAGGATGCCCATTGGACGGACGTTCGGATATATGATCAGTATCAACTCGTGACTAGTTAAATCAACCTCAGTGGAAAACTCTCGCTCTCTCTCTCTCTCATCAATTTTTGATTGGTCGCAACTACAGCGATTGTTCGGATTTTTTTTTCTAAAATCAGTGTCTAACCAAAACATTCCACTAGCTCAGAAGAATGAGGGGATGCAACCCTCTGGAAAGCTAAGGAGACGGCCGGCTGCAAAGGATATAAATTCCAGGTAGGTCCGATACTTGACAGAATTTTAACTTTTGTTTTAATGCAACCTCACTTCATTCTCTCATCAGCCAACAGAACGAATGACATCGCGCATGGTGGGGATAAATCTGCGGAATCATTGCCAGAAAACTGATACTCTTTATAGATAACTTTCACGTGTTGTAACATAATAAGTCATTTAGTATTGTCTTAGTGAGGTTATTTGATATTTTCTATATTTTAGACAAACTTTTTATGAACAAAAACAAGCCATCAAACAAGACCGCCACTGGACCAAATTTCTACACAACTGTGAAATATCTGAATAGGATATCTGTAACTAACATTTCTTCACAATGCTGGAAATTTATTTATGAAATAGTCTGCTTTGGAATAATGATATTGAATTACTTAAATGAGTTATTGAAACACCGAAAACTAATCCACACAACAGCCGGAAAACTATCAATACCAACAAAAACGACAAATGACATTTCTCACTACGATTATTGCTCGTCTACAACTAAACTTTGTGGTACCGCCACGTTCATCTTTAAATAATTCATATTTTCCATTTTGTTATGTACTTTACAGTAACCCATAATTTTATAATAATTGTTAGTCGAGAGCTCGAATCATTGATTTGGCAGCGGTTCTACAGAGGTCCTTGAAATGTGATGCATTTCCCACAGAAGAAATAAACAAAATAAATCACTCGTGAATTTCAACACACGCTCCTAATTTGAAAATCCGTTGACCGATTTTTCAAAAAAAAATTCTTTAAAATAGTAGTCAACAAGCTATCTTCGAAATTTTTAGTGCAATACATCTTATAGGATGTTAGTTATTTAATGGCAAATTTTAGAATGTTTACTTCATCAATTGACCTTGTATCGAAATCTGAGGAGTTGATATAACTGATGAAGAAGTCATTCAAGAAGAAACACATAAAATATTTGGATACGATATACGGATATAAGTGGAGATTCACTTACCTAATTGTAGTGTAGCTCCATCTTCCACAAGATTATCGGCGATATTCTTTCCAATTCTATTTTCCACTTCGGTAGGTGGTTTTCCGCCGTGAGTGGGCAATGGTGTGTCCACTTTCACAGCATAATCAATATGACTTATGTGAATTATGCCATCGCCGAATGTTCGTGGCATATTGGGGTTAACTTGAGCTAAAAAAAAAACTGTTTTTTACAACCGGTTAACAAAGTAGTCTTTGTGCTGTCGAATCTCAACACTAGTGAGTTCTCCATTAAATGTCATTACTTGACAGCATTCGCGCTCGTGAGCAGTTAAACCGGAAGTACATTATAAACAAAAACAATCACATCAGACGCATCTTACGTCATTGCACTTGTCTGCAAAGTTTCATAAATTTCTTCTTTTCCGTTCCATACTTCATTCCAAACCTGTATATGAATCCTATTGAGCATATCTGGAGTCGAATTGAATTGAGACTGAAAATAAGAAAGGAGAACGCAAGAACATAAAAGGAGTTTGCCGATGATACCACCTCATTGTTACGTTACCATCCAGTTCCTGGGGGTCAATTTGGATCATGAGCTGTCCTGGGAAGCCTATATCACTCAACTTAGTTCCTTTCTAGAATTAGCTTCTTGATTAGGAGTATGTCAAGAAGTGTTTCTAGGAGCACATTATTGACGGCATATCATGCTTACTTTAGCTCCATTATGACTTATGCAATTTTGAACTGGGGTCACTCCCCAAACTCTGCTCAAATGATCAAGTTACAACGACGTTGTTTTAGAATTGTTGCGGGCATAAAATACCACGAATGCTGTAGAGATGGCTATGATAGGCTGAAGCTGTTCACCCTCCCGTGCGTTTTTATCTTTCATTGTCTAGTCCATGTGAAACAAAATCGGGATAACTTCAGAACACACAGTGATTTTCATTCATATTCGACTAGGGATGGAGAGAATTTATGCCCGGCTATCATAGGCTGCACTGAAGGGGCACTTTTATTATATACAATGTTTCAATGCTTTACCAACGGACATCAAACAGCTGAATTTAAATAGCTTCTAATCTAGATTGAAATACTATCTCCTAGAAAACGCAATCTATTCCCTCGAAGAGTACCTAGAAAGTGATTTGATGACATTTTAAACCTGTTTTAATATGTAAAATGTGTGACGTTCAATGTATTCATTATTCCAAATTTTTTGGGATTTTCTCTCCTCGTTTCTATAAAATAAAAATATGAATATTATTTCAATATACGTGTAGTAAGGACAAATCAGATGATTTGCCCCAAAATGTCACTGCGTTTAAAGAATTTTCCTATCAGAGAGCCTAAAAGAAAAATTCACTAGCTTGTCAGTGACAATTTGTATTGAAAAAATTTTTGGAGAAGGGAAATAAAGGTATATAGATAAAATATCAAATTTTCACTTATCTTTGGACGTTTCGGGACCGGTTCTGCTCCCGTTTTCAACATAAGAAGAGATTATTTCAATAGCGAAGTCGTATAATGTCTTGAAGCTTTTCATTGAAAACTGAAAAGCTTCAAGACATTATACGACTTCGCTATTGAAATAATCTCTTCTTATGTTGAAAACGGGAGCAGAACCGGTCCCGAAACGTCCAAAGATAAGTGAAAATTTGATATTTTATCTATATACCTTTATTTCCCTTCTCCAAAAATTTTTTCAATACAAATTGTCACTGACAAGCTAGTGAATTTTTCTTTTAGGCTCTCTGATAGGAAAATTCTTTAAACGCAATGACATTTTGGGGCAAATCATCTGATTTGTCCTTACTACACGTATATTGAAATAATATTCATATTTTTATTTTATAGAAACGAGGAGAGAAAATCCCAAAAAATTTGGAATAATGAATATACCACCTCCTCGATTAACCTACAGACAGTATTTAACGTTCAATGTACTTGTGTGTTCTTTTTTTAATTATATATCATTTCGAAAAAGTTTTATACTTTTATATACCCTGTTGACTTGTGAACGAACTGTGTCATTTCAATAAAAAAACTAAACTAAACCAAAGAAAAAAGAATGGCGACTGCGATATTGGAAGGATGAGAAACTGCTCTCCAGAATTTCAACAGAACTCTTGTGGAGGAAATGTCTAGGAAGAGCATCTTTGATATGAATGAGAGAAGTATTTGTTGCTCTTTCATTTTTGTTTTGTCTGAATGCTAAGATGAATGTTGATTTTGAATCAGAATGAATATTCATTCAAGACAGAGCAATAATTGAAAGAAAAAAGTATAAATTTGATACTGTATTCAAACTCCTCTCATTAAAACCAAAGCTTGAATCCTCCTAGACATTCCGACCAGATGATCCAATCACTATGATGAATTTTGGAAAATACCTTCCCATTCTTCCAGTTTTCGCAGTAGTGGGTTATAATAATAATAATAATAGTTTATTGCTTCTTAAACAAGTTTACAGCAACGAGTGTATGACAGAAAAAAAAATGGATAATATGTATGTTTGTACTCTGGAAATGAATAAAAAAAAAAATTTCAATTGATTTTACCCTTTCTTTTTTTCAATCTAAATTGAATACGTTCCCTGACATGCTCAATAGAATTCACATCTGGTGAGAAATGAAGCTAGTTCATTATCTCAATCTTGATTCTGTTAAAACTTTGTCGAGAATTTTCATCGACCAAAGGAATGGTAATGAAGTCATCGAGACGAAAATAAACTGAAAGTCGAATATCATATCAAACGGAAGAGAAACCGATAATATGCAACTGAAAGTCAAAGAATCCTGAAAACGGTTTTGAAACCACTTTCCATATTGCTCTGCATCTGCAGAACGAGAAAAATATTCATATAAATAAGAAAATATGGGGAAATCGGGAATTCATCCACAAATCTCAATTATAGTGCTATAATCAATAAATATCCAAACAATTGAGATGCCATCAAAGAGCTTTAACATGGCATACATTGGCAAGATCAATTACAAAAAAAAGTTAAAGCCTGAATCTAACTTTGGAAATCAAACTGTATTAATGATTGAATGAGTCTCAAGTGGTTCAAATTTTCTATGGGACATATACAATCTTTTTTGAAGAGTTTCAGTTCAGTTGGATCACTCCAGAATCAATGAAAATTTACAGTGTGCCATTCACCATACTGTAAAATATTGATTCATCTTTTTTTCATATTCTAATTCCATGATTCACAAAACGATGAAATGAGCTCTGAAATCTGAAAACCAATTCAGAATCGGTCAATTTTTTGGAGTTATAATCTTACGAATTCGAGAGAAACATGTTGTATTGCCAATTTAATTGCTTACAGATCTTCAATTGAAGAATGGAAAGTAGCAGTATTTCGGAACCCATTATTCAGCTGTCAGTGGAAGAATCAACAGCACAAACAGTTTGTATGAATTGAATTCATACTCACCTATGATGATTCTTGAATTCGACATTCCAGCTCTGACACAGTCAACACTGGTGCCCAAACTGCAGTAGCCATGTTGATCTGGGGGAGAGACCTATTAATAATATTAGTATACTGAAATAATTATGTTTGTTTAATTTTACATTAAAGTCAGTCACAATGGATGATATCTTGATGAAGGGTTATGGAGACAGTTTTAAATCCCAAAATGAGAAAAATGTTGCATCAAATTATCAAATAGAACAAGAGTGAGCCTTTTCAAAAAATAAAGCTCAGCAGTTTTGTTTTCTCGAGATGTAATAACTGCATAAGCTGCATACATGAAAGAAGGGTATATTTTACCCCACAGTGTCAGATACGCCTCTGAACTTGACTGAACAAACTGTCGTTGCTTCAGCAGGTACAAAATCATATTTTCGTTCCTACAGTGGGACAATCAATCAATCAATATGTTGCCGGGGTAGCAACCGGGTGGCGATTTTACTAAATATACTGTACGCTAGCACAAACCACGCCCACCGTAATATCTCATCTTCGAAGTACTTAGGCAAAACTCAGAGACTATTTATCCTTAACGAACTAACCTATCCCTGATTGCAATATTTTTGAGGAAGGAAAACCAGAATATAGTGTAGAAACACATTGATTAATAATATATTTCAAAAGTTAAGTTCTTCAACAAAATTGAATAAAATGAGACTGTTTATCCTAAACGCACTAACCTATTTGACTTCAAATATTTTCTGAAAAAGGAGAACCAGAATGAAGTAAAAAAACATTGGTGAAAAAAAAAAGTTGCAAAAAAAAGTTCAGACTGAAAGTCGACTGCGCTAACCATTAGACCATTTGGGTATATGAATTTACTGCGTACAAGAGATTGACAACGAGAGAGCTTCAGTCGAATTCGTGTCAAAATCATAAAAAGTGTATTCTTGCGTTGGAGCACAGTATATTTAGTGCGATGTGCTGACTCCGAGTATATCGGTAATGTTTGGAGATATGACGTATTAGCGAGGGCGTGGTTTGTGCTAGCGTGCAGTATATTTAGTGAATTCGCAACCGGGTGAGACCAATTCCCACCCCCCTTTCATAAGACTCCCATAGGGGATGACTGCCGGTAACCTATCTTTCGACTTATACCGACAGCACACCCCAGGGAGAAATGGAAGATTTGGATACGCCAAATCAGCGCGCTAGCGCCATCTCCGCTATGTAACGGAATGTTCTCCTGCTACCATTTTATTATACCAATGGTGAGGCCGTCTGATAAAACTGACTACTGGCTCTGCAGTGCCAGTGCCCGAGCAGAAACGCTGCTCACTCGCCGAGGCAGGCAAGATATCCTCCCACTTGACCCATAGTGGGGTTCTTCTTCACCTCCTCTACCGTAGTCCGGTGGTGTTTTTTGGAAACCGCTGCCTCCTGGAGTCCAACCCAATTGGTGAGGCATCAGGTCGCATGTACGACCTGATGAGGCTATCCTCATCACCCCAGGTACCCATGTCAACAAGATTCCTCTTGTTACGTTTGATGGGTCGCCGTCGCAAGAGGCTTTGGCCTGATTGCTACTTATGTTGACAAGAAACCTCCGTTGAATGAGTGATCGTTCGAGGACTTTTACACGTTCCTCTACCTCGTTTACAAGAGAGGACCCGGCTTTACTTATGATGACTGGCGATAGGATCGCTTGGGGCTACTCCCTCCCTGAAGAACTAAGGCACAAGGTACACCAAAGTTCCAGTTTTCGCTGAGCAAGCCCAGCTACCCATGTCGACCGGAATCCTCCAGTCCCGTTTGATGGGTGTCCGTTCGCGGTCTTTCACATGTAGCATGCATTCAGAGTATTTGCTAAGTCTGGTTTGTTTAAACAACGTTTACACTCTCACCACTAGATGCATCTGGAGGTTAGATCATCCAAGGTTGGTAAAATGGATGACTATTTGTTGAGGAAGGTTGCCTCGATCAGAAAACGCGGTGAGGGGAAGTGGTAATTTGTGACGTAGCCCCATCGAAAATTTTGTTTCGGGGTCACAAGAATCTATATTCTACAACTGTCTTAAAGTAGATTTACCTATCCAGTTGTGATCTAGAATTATGCATACATTTCTATGAACCCAACATGAAATGTTGGATGTGTTGGAATATTCATCAATTCTACCTTGAGATCGTTCTACTCGCCAATTACGACTCTGCTTTGCAGCATATACCGGGTGTCAACGTATTCATTGGACAAGCTAGATATTTGTGTTCGAAGTTTCCATATGCTCAATGGGTGTGACGGTGCAATATCGAAACTTCTTTCTCCGTCACACTACTTGTCTGAGTCTGGAAATTTTGAAAGAGAATATTTTCGATATTGATTGAAATAACCCTATCAAATCGTTGAATTCATAATGATAAACCCTAACTGATTATGGAAGAGAATACAGGGTGTCCTATTTAGAAATAAAGAGTCGAGGTCGTTTCCGTTGAAACCGGAAGTGATGGAAGAGTACAAAATATTGCAAAATTCTTCAATTCTATAACGTACATCTCTGCCAAATTTGAATATCTTACTTTCGGAACTCTGGAAGCCACGGCATCTCTAATTTTTTCAAGAACTTCATTCAGATAATGCAAGAGAAAAACAACATGTATCAGTATTACATGTAAGTTCAGTGATACAATATCTGATCAAGGTTTATCCAAAGCAGCACCTAAGTGCTGGTCTCGGAAATAGAAAAACCATTATTATGGATTGAATATCAGTAAGTATAATAACAATACAACTCAACTCTTACTAATGTTAACAAAAAACAATTGTTGTTGTTTAGATATTGTTATGAGTTCTGGTATTATGATCATGTCGCTGACTAACAAAAGTAAAGTCGGTATCACATTTAAGTTAATTTCTTATAACCTTATATAAAACCTTAGCTTGTTATATTTTCAAGTTGTCTTGAATTGGTAGAATTCGAGTTTCTCTGTATATGGTATCTGTTGATGTTCTATAATTTATTCTGAATACCATTTTTATAACTAATAAATTCGTTGACACCCGGTATAGTACTATTCGTGAGGGCATTGACAACAACTGACATTTCAAGCTGCATCTATTCATGAAATGAAAATGAATTTCTTCACTTTTGTGATTGCATAAGTAGGTCTGGCACCTGCTGGTATTTTATTGACGCGACATTAAATAATGTAAACATAATGAAATAAGAAATCAACCTGACTATCTCAAATGTGTATCAATGATAAATGCAAAAACTTAATGAAATTACTAATAACTTTATAATGATCTGAAATCTTGCAAGCAGTTTCCCACATGGATGACTAGTACGCCATTTTTTCAGTATGTTGACATAAACCACATGTATTTTGTTTTAAATAGTAAAAACAACATCCTACCTGAATAACAGCAATGTCAGGTTGGATGATCTTCCTCGTGAAAAGTAAAGGAATTTCTGACAGGAATATTGGTAGAGCATCTCCTCGGCCTTCTGCCACAGCTTTCCTCACATTTCCACCCATGAAGAATGAGAACGATCTAAACAAAAACAATTTCCACAAATCAATATTATCCGAAACTATCTAACATAACAGAACACATTGTATATTGTATATTGAAAAAATGTATGAATCCAGGAATATGATACCTATCTTGGGAAGTTTTCTGCAAAAATGAATTCAGGGTGTTTTGAAATGTGAGCGAAATGCTTCACAGATGATACTGCTCGTGATCTGATGAAGAATAATGTAGGAATATAAGATCCTCAAGTGATTAAATAAATTGAATATCCAGATAAAAAACTATCAAGTTATTGATGTTCCTAGTTGAGCAAAATACTAAAATCCCATAGGGACTGACGGTTGCAGGGGTATTCTTTGACCTCACGCGAGCATTTGACAGCCTCAATATTAAATTTCTTAAAGATAAATTATATGCTATTGGTATAAGAGGTCCTATACTCGACTTGCTAGGCTCATATTTATCTGACCGCAGGTTTTATGTCCAGATAAAAAACGATAAATCTGATATATTTGATACTAATATGGGAGTTCCACAGGGATCTGTGCTGGGGCCACTTCTGTTTCTTATCTTTATTAATGATCTACCTGAATACATTGACGATAGGCTGATAATGTATGCAGACGATTCCTCGGTGGTGGTTGCTGCACAGACCCCTGAGGAATTGTATGAGAAAACAAAATGTCTAATCAACACGTTTCTGAACTGGTGCAATCAAGATTTGATTAAACTAAATCTTGATAAGACAACATATATGAACTTCAGATACAAAAAAAAATACCCCACGCATCACCATGTCTGATATGGCCTATGTATCAGAAATTAAATTTCTGGGTGTTCATTTAGATGAGTTCGTGAGCTGGGACAAACACATAGATCTTATCAGTAAAAAACTCAGCTCAGCATTCTATGCCATTGTGCAATTGAAAAAAACATCGAATTTGAGTACTCTCATTAGTGTATACTATTCTTTAGTACAATCTTTCATACAATGTCTGTCTATGGGGTAACGCTGTTAACTGGAAGAAAGTATTCATCAAACAGAAAAGAATAATGACACTTATCTTTAATATTCCACATGGTGACACATGCAGGCATGCCTTTAAAGATAATAATATCCTAACCCTACCATCTATTCTCATATTTAAAACCCTCCTTTATGTAAAAAACAACTCACAAAGGTTTTTAAAACATTCTGATTATCATAGATATTCTACCAGGAATGCTCATGATTTTGATATCACTAGACACAATCTATCTCTTACTGAAAAATCCCCGGACTATTTGGGAATAAAACTCTACAATCATTTACCTCAAGAAATCAGAGAAATGAATTTTACCAAGTTCAAATCGTCCATAAAGCGCTTATTATGACATAAATGAGTACAATGAATCTAGCTTGCTATAACGGCATAGTGTATTAAATTGGTAGTGTGTATACCCCAAATTGTCAATTGGTGTTCTTTTACTCAAATTGTCTTTTCTTTTTACCTCATAATATGTCGATTTTATTCTATTCACCATATGTGTAAATGTTTTTCGTTTCATCCTAGGTGTAAATCTTAAATTGTAATTGTAATTCTCATTATCTTACGTGTAAATCATAATTTTAAATGTCTTTGCCTATGCTGCATAGTTTTTTAAAATACTTTTTTTATAACTGACATGTACATCCATTTTCGGATGGCTGCTGTATGCTAATACGAATAAACATTATAATTATTATTATTATTATAGCAACATGTCAGACATGAGATTGTAATTAGTAAGGTGGCTTTTCAAACGGACATTACCTGAAAATGCCCTCGCAGGAGGGATCCGTATAAGGCGCAGGTCCTTCTGTGTGCATATGACAAACAGTGACGTTGCTGAGACTTTTCTTCTTCCCTACGTCCGTCATCGCTTGCAGTAGATTGACAGGAGTGGCGGCAGCTCCTTGAGCAAATACGGTGTCGCCTGGAACAAAACAAAGATGTTGAGGAATCATTTGAAGGCGGTGCGAAGAAACTTCCAATCACTGAAGAGGGTTGTGACGATTTGAATCAAATGATTTAAATCGTGATTTAAATCATGATTCAAATCAACTGATTTTTTCAATTCCAATCGAGATTTAAATCAAATTATACATTGCTGTGAAAACAAGTTGCCAAAGTAGATAACACATCAGGAAATTCAATAAAAGGACGTTTATTAAAAACTAAGTATTTACTAAAATAAAATACCTTGTGTTTGTGGAAAGTTTTATACAGGTTGAACCAAGAGACCTCTTTCAGTAAGGACGAAGGAACATAAGTACAATATGAAGAAAAGACACATCGATAAATCGAAACTAGCTGAACATATCCTTACCGAAGACGGACAACATATGGCAGAGTGGAATAATATTAAAATCATTGGAAAAGAAGATAACAACCAGAAGAGAGAAATCAAGGAATCTGCTTGCATTCTTCTGAACGGAGACAATAGCATTGCTCCTTGTTCAGTTCATATAGACAGAACATGGTATTCACTACTAAAATCTGAACATGAAAATGGTAATTCAAGATTAATTGATGAATGTGATGTGAGAATCCACGTGGCAACTACGCATGTTTATATCGAAGGGAATAGAGTAATAATAGTGAAAAAATCGGAGTGTGGAATCGTCGTAAAAACATGAGCTCATTCAAATAAGGTCAGTAATCAGCATCCATCATCTTAAAGTGAAAATAGACGGCTAATTACCAAAATCTTCGAGGAATAATATCCTCGGAAGAGAACATGACACTCGCTGATCACGCCACTGTTGCCACGTCTTTAAAATTGAACCGTAATTTCCCTAATACAATGTCACAAAGAAATACAAGATCTCAAAGTCGCATTCAAAGCCAAATCCATGCGGAAAATCTGAATTATACAATACCTACAGGAAAATCAGTTAACACTGGCTATACGAGTGAAGAGGATGACAGATATCAAAAACTTCTGAAAGAGATAGAGAGCCTGAAAAATGCACTTGAGGAAAAAGAAAGAATAGAAGAAGATTCGCTGAGCCAATTTCAACAAGAAACTTTGATTTTGAGAAAAGAAAATGATGAAAAAGAGAACTTCATAATTCAATTAAAAAGACGAAGTCAGGATTTTGTAGACGAAGTATGTGAAGCAGAGCAAAACTTCGCTAGAGATAATCAAAGACTACACCAAACAATTGTGGAACTGAACGAAGAAATTAACAACTTGAAGGCAGACAATCAATTGTTACTGGAAAGATATAATGAAAATGAATCAAGACTAATAGACATGGAAGTGAGTATAACAGCACTGAGCACTTTGAAAGAGAATATGCTGACTTCAATAGAGGTTCTCACCCAAGAAAATGAGTTGTATGCTAGACAGATAAGGGAAATGAAAAAATCAAAGTATTCAGCTGCTAATACAACATTACCAGCTGCCTACGAAGAAGAAGGAATGCAAACAGATACTGCTCCAGTTAAACAGACAATTACCGAATCAAAGAAGAAGAGTAGTTTCAAGGGAGACAGAGCAAAGAAGAAGACTGAGAGATCCAGTCTACCAGAATTTGACGTACACGTGATGGAGAACAGTACAACCCTGAATTATGCTGGAACAACCGCCAACACCAACATGAACCATGAAGCCCCCATTTTCCATGGGGAAGTTGCTGAGGAGTTAGGAAGAAGGAACTGTTCCCAGAGAAATCAGGTAGATACGTACATTGCCAACCAGAATACAGATATAGCAACAACAGAACCTACGATAGAATCGGCTATGAAATGCCTGCCTCGAACCCAAAGAAAAATATTCATCTATGGTGATGAATATGCAACTGGTTTTTCCAAAGTACTGGGAAAAATTGTTAATGATTCTGGAGTTATTATAACTGAAAAAATTTGTCATAATGTTGAGCTGTCTATGTTAACAAAAGATCTTTTCCAGGAAACTGTAAGCTATGGACATGATGATATAGTGATGATCATGTTCAACACAAGTAGTATTAGCAATCACAATTCACTGCACTCAGCACTCAAACACATTCTAGGTATTAGCAAAACTACAAATCTTTTCATAATACCCGAGTGCAACTCGAACCCGGATAAAAAAATAAACACTATGATATATACTAGGATAAAGTATTTCAGAGTCATTAATAAGAACTGTTCTATATCATTTCTAGTTGACAAGAAACAGAAGGGCAGTAAAACTGAAGTACTTGAAAATATCAAGAAATCTCTAGAGTACCTGAAAAGGACTCAAAATATTGTCCTAAAAAATGTGCAAATCATCCAAAATGATTTTCCTTTTTTAGACACAGTTCAAGTAAGGCAAACTGCAAAAGAGTAGCCCCTGATAGGTCGATTGAACTTAATTGTAGTAAACACGCTACTGACAATGTAGATTTGCTTTTACTCAACATTCAATCAGTACGTAACAAAACAAATGAACTTTTTGTATTTCTAGAGAGCCAGGCATTTCCAAGCATTGTTTTACTCACTGAACACTGGTTGAAACCAAATGAACCATTATATATTCCTAATTATTCAGTAGTGTCTAAATACTGTAGGGAAAACTATAATCATGGTGGAACGCTAATCCTACTTAATGATAAAATAGCAGATAATTTGTTATTCATTGAAATTGATAGATATAATATGCTCCTGGTGGAAAAACAATTTGAATTTTCTCTCATATTCAACAAGAAAATCAACCTGTATATAATATGTATTTATAGACCACCATCTTGTGATGTACAAGTTTTTGTAGAAAGGCTAGAATTACTATTGTCTCAGCTACCACTCAACTCAAATATCGTACTCGCAGGAGATTTTAATATGGACTTCAAAACTGACTACTCGGTTGGTAAACAAACGCTAACCTGTATGCTCACTGGATTCAATATGTCTATGCATGTAAATTCACCTACGCGGATTACAAACAAGTCAGCCACCATAATAGACCTTGTTTGTTCAAACCTAATTGAAGAAAACATCTCATGTTCAGTATCCCCTGCAGGCTTATCTGACCATGAAGCAGTGTTATTCAATATGTCATTCAAAACTAAGAAGTCACATAAGAAATTCAGGCATGGTAGAATCTACAGTGGCAAAAATTATGATAGATTTAGAGAACTTTGTGAACAGGTCAACTGGGAAACCATTTCAAATTGCAACCAGCAACTCGATATTTTTCACAAAAATCTGATAGAAATTTTCAATAAAGCCTTCCCCTTGAAACCATTGAAAGTAAAAAATAAAAAACCCTGGATAACCAAAGGCATCAAGACCTCAGCTAACAACTTACGCTCATTACATCACATCAGAAAGTACAACATGTCCAACACATTTTTCACTGCCTATTTCTATAAATTTCGTAGCATCTATAGACAAATTATAAAAAGAGCAAAAGAAAATTACTATGAGGTTAGACTCGACAATTCAAAAAATAAGCCAAGAGAAAATTGGGCCATAGTAAATGAACTCAGAGGTAAAAATACCAAGAATTGTGCGAAGATTGAAGTGAGTCCTAATGATCTGAATGAGTATTATTGTACCATTGGTCCAAAATTAACCTCGACCATCAGTCCTAAGAAAGATCCTATGTTTTTTCTCGAGAAAGTCAATTTGTCTGGTGAATTTTACTTATCGCCCATAAATAAAGAGGAGCTGAAAGAAACTATAAGTGAAATAAAAAACAAAAAATCATCTGGTATCGATAATCTATCTGCCAAGATTCTAGAAAATCTGCCTGAAAATACTTTAACTGCCTTGGTCCACGCAATAAATGAATCCTTCTCGACTGGAGTATTTCCTTCCTGCTTAAAAGTTTCTGTAGTTATTCCAATTCACAAAGGCGGTGACTTAGATGATCCGTCAAATTTCCGACCGATCTCTTTGCTGTCCACCTTATCGAAAATTATTGAAAAATTATTTAAAAAGCGACTATTGACATTTCTGAAACATCAACATATTTTAGACAGAAATCAGTTTGGCTTTCAAAGAAACAAAAATACTAACGATGCCATTTTCTCCTTCTTAGAAAAGGTATATCTTCACTTGAATACAAATGAAGCTGTAGCAGCAGTTTTTTGTGATTTTTCTAAAGCATTCGACTGCGTAAATCACAAAATACTGCTGCAAAAGCTATTCCGTTATGGTTTCAGAGGAAATTCCTACAATTGGCTGCAGTCTTATCTCACAGGTCGTAATCAGATTGTAAGGACATGTGGAGAATCTTCAGAATTGAAATTTGTTGTGGTGTACCACAAGGATCTGTGCTGGGCCCAATTCTCTTCTTGTTATACATAAATGATATAACTTCCATCAACATAAGTGGATCATTTACGCTCTTCGCTGACGACACAACACTTCTATGGAATAGCCATAATGTCGATGAATTAACTGGGACTGTTCGTGATGATCTGCTAAGAGTTAAAGAATGGTGCGACTGTAACCTGCTCTCACTGAACCTATCCAAAACTAATATTATGACATTCAAATATTCTATAGATAATCTTTTACTGTGTCCACAGGTTATTATCGAAAGTAAACCTAACTGTAAATTTCTTGGGCTACATATTGATGACAGATTGAAATTTGATAGCCATGTGATAAACCTGAGTAAAAAACTAGCATCGGGATGCTTCGCTGTTAGAGTAGTTGCAAATGAGTTAGGTGTTGCTGTTGCAAGAATGGTATATTTTGCGCTGGTGGAATCGCATTTACGGTATGGGGTCACTTTCTGGGGAGTTTGTAACCAGCAATTATTTAATTCTATATTCGTACTACAAAAAAGGGCTATACGATACATGTGTAAAGGAAAATTTCGCGATCACTGCAAGCCCTTGTTTCAGGCTCATAACATTCTCACATTACCATCTATCTTCATCCACGAAACTGTTTGTCTGATACACAAAAAATATTCTGAAAACGTAAGCACTGAAGCACGTTATAACACCAGGA